GGCACTCACTTCTCATATTGTGATAGTCTAGGTGACAATTTTAAATCCCTCGTAGTACAAGATCTGGACACAGACTTCTCACCATTTTCAATACTTGCCCATTTACCTTCGTGTTGGAAACCAAAACCTTTGAATAGTTATCTTTTTCAACCTCATTGGAAAAGTTTCTTTTGACTAGCCCTCAAATTAGTCAAGATGTTGAAGGCTTATATGTATATAATGGAACTGAGGGACCAAGTTAAAAATCCTGAGTCTACCTAAATCTACCACTAAGCTTAAACATGACAGTTTGCTTTCAGTTGGATCGCTCCCCCCAATTTTATGAAAAAGTTCTTGCTTCCAGGCCTGCAATGTCTTTCTTCATGAAGAAAATTTCACTTCTTAAACAATAAAAGTTGGTTTTGATGAAAAGTCAATTCAGTTAGAAAACCTCAAAGTTTGACGCAGTGACTTCCCAAGGATGCTCGGACCTGCTGTTAACCCAAGGTGTTAACCTGAGTCAGGATTCATGATTCTGCTTCACTTTTTTTTTTTTACCCACACTATCAGTTACTGACCATCCCCAGAGGTGTCCACCTGCTTCACTTGTTTTTTTTACCCACACCATCAGTTACTGACCATCCCCAGAGGTGTCCAGACATAACACCACATTGCAGTAGTGGTCCTCCAGAATATGCCATGTAGCCCATATTTCTGCTTGGCCAAACACATTTCCTCTGCTGCTCTGCAAATAGCTGCCTTCACAGAATCCTAATCCCTTATAATCGAGGTGGATGGGCACAGTCAGTTCCCCAAATCACCATAATTAACATAAGCAAAATGTTTTCTTGCAAAATGCAATCTCTGCAGAAAGCACTAGAACAAAGACCATAACACTCTGAGGATTATCAAACAGTGCAAACCAGCGAGCTGATGATGCTTTTGCTATTTTGCCATATAGCCATTATGAATGGAGGATTTTATTATCCAGTCAGGAATGACTAAGACATCATTTAAAAGAAGAGCCACTGAAAATGCAGTTTATTTTACTTTCCTGGAACTGAATCCTTAAAGATTTCTTGAAATTTTCATAAAAAGAAAACAAATCAGGATCCTCCACATTTCTCAAGCTCTATTGACCATCGTTCCAGATCAAGTTCTGCAGTCTTAATTTTGCTTTAAGCTCTGAAAATAAACTTTGAAGGGACAGAAACTAAAAATGCTATAAGGAATGATATAAAAATTATATAAGGACTCATCAGGACCTGTTTAGGAAGAAATTTCAACCCAAGTCAGAGTTGAAATGGAAAAGGAATATGCTCTTTTAATTAAGAGCAGTACTTTGACTAAGTGAGTATGTTAGCTCCATTATCAGCTTGCCTTAAAGATATAAATGCCTCCACTTTTGCACAAGAATCCAAGAACCAGACTAGTTCAGCCCTGGGATCCCCCAGCCTAGTATCCTGCCAAGTTGCAGACCCTTAGAAGTAAGAAAGCAACAAAGGAGTAAAAGTAGCAGCAAATTAGAAACAGCACAAATCAGTCCTGCTGAACTCTACCAATCATCCCAGCTTCTGGTAATCACTGGCTTCAGTACTCAGTGTGCTAGAGGTTTACAGCCTGCAGTGGATCCATTCTCCATGGATTTATAGCTATCCCGTTTATATCTTTGTACTGCACAATACTGTACTGTGATGAATTTCCCAATTTTATTTTGAGCTGAAAAAATAAAAATACTTTATTTTGAAACTCCTGACTTACAATACCATTAGATCTTGCTTTATTAAGTACAACATTCCTTTTCCAGTATTAGTCATGATTTCCTATAAAATCATGCTGAAGTGTTCGAGTTAAATCTGGGCTTCCTTGAAGATTCCACACTTGACCACTCTTCTCCAAGCACTTCCTAATTCTACCACATCAGCTTTGAGATGAAGTGATGATAACAAAAGGCAATGAGAAATCCAGGCATTTACAGAGAAACATAATAATGTTTTGTTCTTGTTCTCAATTCCTTTTTTTAACTCTTTACTTCCATTTTTGCCTGGCAGGGATTATTATGATGTCTTCAGAGAAACAGGCAGAATTCTTCTGAGATCAAGTGGCTAAATAAGAGCCTGTGATACGTATATTTGGTTATTTTCTCTTAATGTGAATTACTATGCATTTATTGACACCTAAGTTTAATTTTTATCAGTCATACTTCTGCAGTACAATTTCCTTCATTCATTTTTACCTCAGCTAACAGTTCCAAGGAGGGAGAGAGCAGTCCCCAGTACAAACCTGCCTGATGGCATTGAACAGCAGCCCCCAGTCATTAGGAGGATGCTTCGATGCTGCTCTGCCAGGCCAAGAACTGAAAGCCCAAACCCCTTCTCCACCATCAGGAAAAGGTGAAGAAATGTAATTCAGCCAGGACAGATCAAAATGCTGGCGGGTACGTATGTGCTGCCTCTGCGAGAAGACGGCCAATACACAATTTCAGAAGACTTCTCCCCCTCCCCCCAGATGTAGTGGCTACTCTGCATTTTTCATTTACAAGCTTAGCAAAAATCCTTTCATTTGCCCAGCACATCATTACTTGTTCACAAAGCAGCTGATGCCGAGCCAGATATGAATACATACATACAAATGCAAAGCACAGTGGTATTTGCTCACACTCAAATGTCCACCTTTTTGTATTTTCCCAATCAATGCTGGAACACGCCAGCACTGCAGTGCCAGGAATAACACTTGCCAACAGCACTGCACGTGAAAGAAATATACTAGAGAAAAGCTTTGATTTTAGTGACTTAAGGGCAAGCAAGAGGGATCACATTATCTGGTCAAAACTAGTGGTGAATTTGAGGGAAGCAGTTGTAATCTGTTCTTAAATATATCAGAAACCCATGATCATTACTGACTATAAAAATGTTATTTGTTAGGACATTAAAATATGTCATTTAGTTTTAATGCTCTGCATAAAGTAATTTCACTTCATTTACCAAAATTTGTCTTTTGGAAAAAAAAAATCCAACCAACCAAAAAAAATATCAACGAAGCAGAGCTTTTAGAAGAAATTGTAGAGAGGCAATGATGTTCTATGGATCACTGTAATAATATACTCCCAGATTTACAATGTACAGTATATAGCACCAAACAACAATACTGCTGTAAGCATCTCCTTGATATTGCATAAAGATTAAGCAGACATGCATGCCCTTGCTAGGACTGGATGTTACAGAAGGATTACCAGTCAGCATGGCACTGGATGAGCCTTCAATCAAAAAAAATTTAGAAAAAGCTACTCTAAATCTGCAAAGGGAAAAGCAATCGCTCCTGTGGAACAGTACTTGGAAAGCAATGAAACCCTGCCTTCCCTGGGCAGTGGTAAAGAACATGGACAAAACCAGTGGAAAAGAAGTTGCTGCACTTAAGAGACCAACAAGATGCTATAATTTTCAATTTCTAGGACAGGAGCAATTGATAGTTAAACACAGAGTAAATGAAGATGAGACAAAGCTGCTTCAGAATAAATCTTCTAAAAGTCTCCTCTGAAAAAAACTAACACTGCAATCAAACAAAATCAACTTCTGGGAGGTATGTCTTTGACAGTCAAGCATGTCAGCAAGCGGAATTGCTTGATGTCTTCATTACAGCTGTCAGGCTTACGCTGTAGTCACAACAGTTTGGTGAATTTATGACATTGACAGAATTACTGATGAAAACCATTTGGATCTTATGGTAAGAAATATAGAAGGTCAAAAAAAAGAAGATTCAGAGCTAACAGGGATGCAGGTAAGATGCACAGAAGTGAGTTCAATAGCTTTCATTGCATATTCAGACATCCTATTTACTACAGAATATCTTATACACTCTCAAGAGTTCAGACAAGAAAATTCCTTTTCAAAATGAGCCCAATTTTAATCCTAAATACGAATGCTAAATTACTGTATTACGTGCTCCTAGAGAGTATTAAAGAGAGTAGCTTGTTTAACAGGCAACTGGGAGCCCTTTTTCTGCAGTCTGTGTGAGAAAGTATGAGAGCATTTCTGTTGATTCAGTCCTCTGGCCATACAAATCCTTCAGCCAGAACAGAAGAGGGGCTTAAATGAATTAGCCATGTCAGTGTTTTAATATTCGTGTCCATTAATGGATGAAGCATTCAAGCTGCCCAGCTGAGAATGTAGCTGCAACATCATCATTGATACATCGCAGCAGAGAATTTTTTCCCTACAATCACTTTATTTCCCTGGATTGGGAGTGTGTGTGTGTATTTTTGGATTTTAAAGGGTAGTTTACTGGGCTTCAAATCTTATTTTGCCTGCAGGAGGAGAAAACCTTAGGAGATTCCCCAAGCATGACTTCCAGTGCTTGAAGTGCTGTTCATAGAACACATATCCAAGACAGGGAAAGCTTTATTTCCTAGTGGGACACCTGGGCCACTGAGTGGTTGTGAAGCCAGTTTCTTTTATTGATTCAAGCCCTAAGGTGATCATATTTTCAGAATAATAATGAGCTAATTTATCCCCACTGCGTTACAGGAATTTTTTTTTATGGGACCCTATATGCTGCATCTGGCACACAAGCATATTGAAACTGATTTAAATGAATTGTAATATGCTACCCATACAGCCGGGGGCAAAGGAGGGTAAGGCACAGAGCAATGATACCATCAAGTTATTTCACCGTTTGAAGACCAAATCTTAGAACAAGAACTCTCCCAAAATCCTCTTGTCCAAACAAGACTATCAAATGAATTTCCTTCTGTTGCATCATCAATATTGAAAGCTTTCATTAGCAAGAACAAGCTATTTAGAGAAAAATGAATCATGAAAGTCATATGTTTCTGATTTGTCATTCTGATCTGCTGTTTGTCAAATATGTAAAAAATTTACATTTATTAGCACTTTTTACACAGAAATATACCAAGAACCATAGTAGACTGTAATTTAATGCCTATTAATGAAAGCTATTTCATCTTTACACTACAGCCTGGATGACCACCACTGACAGGATTTCAAGTCCAAAGGAGAACTCACCTTGGTGGTGTACGTGTGTCCATCAGACCCACAGACAGGGCTGGCATGTGTCGTGGGGCAAGGCTTGCATTTTACTATGTTAGCTGGGCCAGTCCAGTGCTTCTGGGCCAGGGTCCCTTTCTTTTGTCGAAGGCTGTAAAATCAAGAGACACCAGGTTTTCTTCAACATGCTTTATAAAAAACAGAAGAATGAAAGCTTCTCTGACTAAGGAGAAGCCAGATTTTCATCACAGTATGAATTTAAAGCAAGTAAGTTAAATATAACTCCTAACAATGCTTCTATAATATGGCACATTACAGTAAGCAATAAAAAAAAGTCATAAATTGGTAGGCAGTCCTAGATTTGCAACACTTGGCAGCTTCATTTTGATTTATAACCACAAATTACTTCACTTAAGAATACAGCATTTTGTTCAACCACGCAGCGTTTCTGGTGAAGCAGGCAAGTAACATCACATCAGGTTGCATTTAGAGACATTTTCACTAGGCCTTCTCCAAGTTGCCAAGTTACTGTAAAGGCAGTGACAATTCTAAACCAAAATCCTTTGAAAAACATTGCAATTTATATTATGATTTTAAAAATGCCTAAAATCTCTTCACAACTTTGTCACTGTACGTGCAGTAGTCCTCTCGGCGTGCCAGCTGCTGAACAGCTGTTATTCTCAGATCAATCACAGTCCCCCTCAGAACACTATAAAGTGACAGAGAGCATCTCCAAATGCATTTGAACCCCGGGAGTGACTGCAGTTGTCCTCAAGTCATGGACTACTCAATTATTGCATTAAAAATGTCTATGAAAAGACATCTGCTCCAAAAACTTCTTGCAAAACATGTGCAATTGATACTGATTAATAGCTCATTTTCCTGTCATAATGAGCTACTCGACTGTTACGACAGTAAGTAATTATCACCAGCACACTGTTCTAAGCTGATTAAAAGTTTGCTTTAGAAATCACGAGTCAATGTTACAATGCAGTTTCATTTTGGCCGCGTGTACTTGTCTTTCACTTGAAAACATTTACAAGGCAAGGCAAGGCATCGCATCAGCTTTGCCGGAGACTGTTAAGAAAAATAACTGCCATCTGTTCTCATACCACAGTAAAAAAAGATACGATATAACAGTTCAGCTAGAAATACATTTCAATGCGCCGCTGAATGACTTTATCACAGTTTTAGAAAAACATATACAGATACATTTTAAAGCAATTTCACTACAGCTTGCAATTTGCTACACAATACTGACTCTGATGTAATGACACATTCAGTTGCTAAAATAATAAAAATTCTATTCTTTCATCTCAGCTCTAGTTTGGTTGAAGTCTAACCTTTGTCACAGTGATGACTAGTACTACTAAGAAGCTCGTGTCCACAGAAGGAATACAATCATGATATCATAAACTACGAAGATAGAAGCCTCGTATTTTAATCCCCTTGTTATTTTGAAGAAGTTTTCTTAATGCCTAGAGCAGCTTTCCCTCCTTCAGATGCATTCTGCCCTGCAGAGTTACCATTATACCAGACACTAAATGCTGCAGATGGGGGATTGCTTGGATCTGAACCCCTAAATACATCTCTGTAGACACGGACTCTTCTGCGGTGGCTCTACAAACCATTTATTTAATTTTTCCCAGAGTAACTGACTTTTCTGCATCCTCCTTCCCTCCAACAATGCTTTGTTACTAAAATGTAATGATTATCTTATTTTCTCAAACTGTTTCCATTACAGGCATTTCTTTTGTCTTTTCAGCTTGACAAGAAAATTTCCTCATTCCCTTTACTTACAGCCCCACGTTTCTAGAAATGCACAAACTAGGAGCCAAGAACAGGTTTGGATGCAGCACTGTGGATACTGATGAGCAGAGCCTGGAGATAGGCATGAGAGGGGCTGTGCTCCTCCTTTGGAGACTGCAGAAGGATGGATCATGGCACAGAGCAGAGTTTGGTTTCCACAACCTCAAAAGACAGACCCACACAAGAAAATTTCCTCATTCCCTTTACTTACAGCCCCACGTTTCTAGAAATGCACAAACTAGGAGCCAAGAACAGGTTTGGATGCAGCACTGTGGATACTGATGAGCAGAGCCTGGAGATAGGCATGAGAGGGGCTGTGCTCCTCCTTTGGAGACTGCAGAAGGATGGATCATGGCACAGAGCAGAGTTTGGTTTCCACAATCTCAAAAGACAGACCCATGTTGATATGTAAAATTGCTAAGAAGATAGTTTTAGGATCAGCTATGAAAAACAGCTAAGAAATGCTAAACTAGAAGTGTATGATTTAATGCCATCATCTTCAAAACCATTAGCCACAGCACATGCAGGATGGAGATGAGCAACTGAACTAATGAGCACCTCATCAAAATTAAATGTAGATTGAAGTTCTCAGCTAGACTGACGCCTACCAAGTCACAGGATTTTGAGGCAAATATGAAATACATCATACAGTATTTGTGGACCAAACCAAATTCAAATACTTTGCACTGTAAATATAGAAGAAAACATTGTGGACATGGCTGCTTGTCCCTCTCTGCCCAGCCTTACAGTCTCCCGTCCCTTCAAGATTCATATTGCAAAGCCCGTTTCTATTCAAAGATACTTCTTGAGCCAATAATGATTTCCACTCTCCCATCCTCACTTAAAAAAAAATAATAAATCAATTCATGCATTTCAAGCCATTTCAGCAGCTCATCCAGCCTGGTGGCCCTTTCTGTAACTGAAAGTGAAAAAAGAACATGCCCAGCCTTAGGTTGAGCTGTGTTCTGGGTGCAGCTGCCTTCAGCCACTGCCAGCTGTGTGTGTAAGAGCTGAGCCTCCCTCCCCCTCAGCCAGGGACTAAACTGGTTTCACCTGAACCTGATTTCTCTCCCTCCCCCACCACATTAATCTTCAGGATTTTCTTGTGATAATAAGAGGCAATTAACTCTCTCAAAGAGACTGATACTTAGTAACAAGATGAATTTACAGCAGATTACATCTCAAAGCATTTTATTCTTTTAAAAAGTTAGTTTTAGTAGCACCTCATCCAATGTGCATCACAAGCAGGGCATCGCTGCAAGGACCTGCAGTGACCCTCCTGTGTGTGGTGTAACAGGCAGCCCAGTGCAGCACCCATCTGGGTTGCAAGAAACAATCCAGGTTTCAAAAAACAAATATATTCTTTTCAAGCTACACTTTTGTCAGAAACAACAGCACAAAGTGTCACTCTATTTGAAGCAAGTCAAAAATAATTTTTGTCAGCCCAACCAAGCCAGCAATAGCTGAAAGCTTAACTGGATACCCAGATTCCACACCCCCACCAAAAATACAGGTAAGCACTTGTTTCTGAGGGAGAACATCTACTTTTGAAAAGTAAACATGTATTTTCCTGGAGTGATATTTTGAGAGGCTGGATAAGACTTCTGGAAGCTTTTCAATCCTATAACCCCTAACAACACATCAAACATCCAAACAAACAAATTAAAACCTAGACAAGAACATTGGCTGACACGAGCAGCCAGGCTGAAAATCCCTTCTCAATGGAAGTGCACATTCACATACTCTGGGAACACGGTTTGCTATGCTAATCATCTTGTTTTAGAATAAATATGTCAGGAGCAAGCCAGGCCAAAGTAAATTAGGCCTTTTTTTTTTCTGACAACTTAACCAACTTTAATCCTTCTTTAAGACTTAAAGTTGAAAGGACCAGCTACAAATCATTAGAAAATAACAACTGTGGAGAAAGAACAAACCAGAAACTCCCCACTGGGGTAAAAGGCTGCCACATTTATAAGGACAAGAGGGCCAAGTGTTTTCAATATTCCAGAAGCAAAAAGACATGTATGTCTTGCTCAAGTATTAAGACTTACAGGCAAGCCCTGCCTGCTTTTGCTTCTCAGGCTGGTGAACCAATGCACCAAGAGGTGTAAGATTTAAGGAGCAGTTAATTTTTACAGATTTCAGCCTCTCAACGTTTTAATACATAAAGAAATTTTAAGCGGTTTAAAACATTCACACTTCAACACAGGGAAAACATTCGCTGATTCAGCTTCATTAGTCATTGCACAAACATACCACTTACCACATTCTGTGAAAATCCAAGGAGACTACATTTGCTTTGCATTGCAGAGAGAATGCAGCGGGTTTGCCAGATGCCATCAGCCAGATACTAAGACCATACACAGGAGCCCTAGCCAGACAAACACACTACACAGCCTGACCCAGAGCCACAAACACCTCAGAGCTCAGAATATCTAGGAAAAGTTGGCTCCACCCAAGAATTTAAGGCTTCCAGGTGTGCCTTGTGAGAGCTGATGAGAGCAGCTGCAGCCTTGCCCCAGCTGGCAGCTGGTGATGGGGACACCAATCCCCCACCTCTCCCCACCTGGCTGGGGACATTGAGATGCTCCTGGCTGGCAGCACTGGTTCCTGGCTCTGACAGCCCTGTGGAGGGTTTGAACTACACCTTTCTGTGAGCACAAGTTTATTAAACCCAATGCTTCACACAAAATATTTCGCATTGAAAAAAATCCACAACCTTAATTCCTGACCCAGGTCTCTGAGTGGGCTCTGCTGTTTAGGGATCTCTGCATCTTTGCTTCTAACAATTCTCTCCAGGATGGTACAAACGAGCACATATGGCAATAAAATTTGGCAAAGCCAGAGGCAAAAATAAAGTTACTTGCACAAAAATGTTTTTGGTGGGTTTTTTTTTTTTATTAATTACCATTTACATTTTGTTTTACTTACATTTAATTTTAAAGTTTACACAGATCCTAGAACTATGAATAATTTCATTTTTATTTGCCTTGAAATAATCTTGGAAAAACTGAAAATTGTGAAATAGTTTACAGGAGTTTTTTTAAAAAGGGAATAATTTATCTTTTAGAGTGTAACATGGAAGGGATCAGCAAAGAGCATCATAACCACAACATAAGAAGTGAGTGGACATGGAATGGATAAGCTTAGTTTCACCCAATTCTTACTTCTGAACTACCACACAAATTATTTTTCTTACCATTTACTGAACTAACTGATAGATTTTAGTTATTTTAGTTATTGAGAAGACAATGATCTCTTAGCCTCTGTTCTCCAGCTGACTTCTCTTGTTGATGGAGTCTCTAGGTGAACCTGTGGTGAATATAGTACGATCTGACTAGG